CTGCATTCTTTGTAACACTTGAGGTTTCTGATTCTGCTAACAGCCTAATCCCTTCAGCTCCAAACTTCTCCCAGCTGTTGGTTTGCAGCAGTTATGGAAGGATTCCAAACATTCAGCGCCAGAAAACTTAATCCTAAAGCTGTTAGGCGCTACCAAAATAACAAGGACCCCCAATTTAAAGCTCTTAGCCTTAATTAACAGGAAAGGAGGCATTCAGGTTTGTGCTGAAACACAGAGCTTAGACACAGTCTTCTCCAACAGCCTCCTGCCCACATTTCTTGATGTTAGAATTTTAGACCAGAGTGTTGCAAATATCAGCCACACCATCCTGCAATTTGAAGGACAATCCAATGCTATAGATCAATTTCCATCCATTTAGCATCCAGTCTCTAAATGTATGGGTACTTAAAATATTGGTTCAGTGCCAACACGTGTGTGCACATTTGCAAAAGAGATGGGTGAATCTGTCAATTCAGTTTTTGCTCCATATCTCTCTTTGAGTCCTGTTGGGTTCCATCTCCTCCTCTGTTTACACATTTCACCAGAAAGAAAACTAGCAAAAACTTTCACGAACATTTACAGTAATTGAAATTCAACATATACAGAAGGGATGGGCTGAGGAAAGTTGTCTTAGAGTGTTCCTAATCTACAAAGGCGCATGTGGCTCCCTCTAAGGACAGATTAGACTTCTTGAAAAAATAAAATGTTAATTGTACTAAAAGCCTAGAATTAGTTCCTGGAATCTTAGGAGCTGGGTAATTGGCTCATCTCATATATCCCATTTTTATCTTAGTCAGGCCTTTTCTTCCTAAGAGTTTTGTTAATTGTCCAGGTCTTAGCACTGTAATAAATTGAGAGACTAGGGAATTATACCATTAAACCAAGTAATATTTTCAATCCAGGGCGTTGCAATCCAGTGAGATTAAAAATGGTATGAATTAAATCACATGCTGCACTCTACCATTATAGCTATTAGTATTATATACACACACAGTTCCCAGTAGTAATAGGAGCACTCAGGCTTGTGACTCCTAAGCTACGAGAACGGCTCCAGCAAATCTCAGGAACAACATCATAACATTATGGACATCTGTCCATAAGAGTGAAGCTAAGATACTGTGCAGAATCCTCAAATTTCCAGGCCTCTAGCTGAGTACTCAAGGTTGAAGAAGACACAGACCATTCATAAATAATACAGAACCATCAGCATCTACATGATCTCTATCCCTTTTGCACATGTGCAATACCAAGACACATATTAAAAAGGGTAGAGCTTGTGCTACGACCCTAGTTTAGTCATTCTGTTGTTCTTATCTCCCTGCAGATACCACTTAGGCAGGAGTGTCCAACTGCCAGCCTGTGGACCAGTTTCATCATACCGAAAACGCACCCCCCTCCCATTGCCAGCAATGCAAAAAGAGTTGCGATACGTCACGACACGTCATGTGAAGTGGCGAGTTTGACACCCGTGACTTAGAGGAACCAATTTCTCATGACAGAAATGATTAGTGAAGTCCTTATCCTTACATGTGTAATAATGGTGCTCCTTAGAGATACTACTGTGTAGCAATTAAAACATAGATCGTCAACATGGAAAGCTTCTTCACTGCCTGCCTTGTGTCACTGCTGTTCTTTTCGAATATCCTTCTTAAAGAAAAGAAGAAAAGTGTATATGCTACAAAGTGATTTTTTTTTCTTTATGAGAAATCTCACTACACATATTCTTAGAAAATAAAAAGAGAAGGTGGCTGAAAGTCAGGATTTTCTTTGGAACAGCAACTATTTGCCCTGAGGGGGGAAAAAACAAAGATAAACTGAGGTGATGGACAGCCCATCTTGAAGGAAATTAAAGAGGCTGGCAGACAGAAGCTCAAACATTGCCGGTCTCCCGTAAAATCAGTATGTTGGATTGAACCATTCCTACTGGCAGAATCCATTTTATAACTAGATAATCCCAAAGAAGGTATTTTGGGAGAAGATCCACCACATATTCTCAAAATTTCACCTTTGTCTCTGGGGCTTATCTGATTTTAGAGTGTCTAAATCTCATTTTATGCATGAAGCAGAATGTTTGATCTTGAGATGGTCACTTTGTGGATCAGACCGATGTTAAGAAAATCAAAAGGAGAGCAAGATGAGAAAATCAGGTTGTGCACACAGAGGCCTAGTAAATGATAGAAAGGGACATTTTGATAAGACAAGGACGTCCATTGTTAGATGGCAAATATTTTAGAATAATCTGTAGGTGCTTTTATATTTATGAGACTTTTAAGACACAAACTACAAGCTTTTTGGCAATAGATTTGTGGCTCTTCCAATTTGCTCCTTTGTTTCTAAATGAAAGCTGACATTCCCCTACTTTCAGCAGTTGGAGCTTTATAGAAACAAAACAAAACAAAACAAAACCTTAACTTAAGGGAATCAAAAAGTTTATGTAAATATGAAATATCCCTGATATGAAATTTGGCCATCCAAGCTCAGTATTTCCTTTTCTACAAACAAAACACATCTATTTTGAAATCTTTGGGAAAAGTTAGAGTAAATTGAATCATCTCTTTACCATAATTAAAAAAAACCTTGATTACATTTTGATGGATTTAAAATTAAATTGAATTAGAAATATACAATATGACAACAAAAAATGAATTCATCTGGTTTTGGATTTTTAATCTGTTGGAGAGGACAGGTTAAGATTATGTTATAAGCATTTGCTTGGTCTGCAATAAGAAACTAACATGGGATCCAAATGAAATAGCGATAGCACTAGATTTATATACTACTTCATAGTGTTTTATGTCCTCTCTGTTTTACAGAGTCAGCATATTGCCCCTAACAATCTGGATCCTCATTTTACCAACCTCAGAAGGATGGAAGGCCAAGACAATCTTGAGCCAGTGAGAATCGAACTGCTGGCAGTTGGCAGAATTAGCCTGCAATACTGCATTCTAACCACTGCGCCACCACGGCTCAGTAAATTTGATCTAATGAAGCCATTTTTTTTTCCTCATAATCCTCAACCAGATCTTCCCACTGAAGAGTTTTATTACATCCTTATGCTTCCCAGCAGATGGCACAATGGGGCCTATAGACTTTTTCCATTCTTTATAAAAAACATCAAATTTATATGGCTGCCCATCTCACCAGAAGTGACTCTAGGTAGCATATTTTATTTTACTTATTTTGTCTAATCTCTATCCATAAGTAATAACCACCATGGAAGAAATCAGACAAGTAGCTATTGTCATAAATAGCCTTTGACAGATGTCTCCTGTGTGACTCTGTCTAATCCCATTTTGTGTCATCTAAGTCAATGCCCATCATTGCACATCTGGCAGAGACACAGATTTAATTCTATTGCCCTGGTGAGTTCCACAGATTTAATTATCCTGGATGTAAAAAAAAAAAAAATGCAGTGCTCCATTGTGAAAACAAAACCTTGAAGTCCTCTTCTGCTTAAACAGGAGGATTTACCTGGTAAACAAGTACAGGATATATTATTTTATTCTATTCTTCATTTGACCATCCAGTGGTTGGTTGCTAGTTCTAGATAATGTGATACATAGATCATAAGCATAATGTATATATAAAAATCAGTCTTTTTATCCTGGATGTGATTCACTCAGCTTTTTCTCCATTATCATTTAAAGGTTACATTAAGGAGAGGCAATATTACTCACACAAGAATATAATACACTCATAACTAAATAATGACTCTTGTTTCCATAAGGTTTGTGAAGGACAGCAACTTATAATGCTTTGAAAAGGAATGAGATGCATTCATGGAGGACAAAGCTGTAATTCACAATGTCACTGGGCCATAAATAGTGAGGGAAGGCTAATATCTGCTTCCTATTTATACAATAAGTTCCCTATGGTTGGCTACCATAGGAAGCCCCAAACCCAAGAAAGACCTTTAGTCTGATTCTCTTGATCTCCTTCCGCTCCCATCCAATAGGGACTTTCAATTTCTACAGCTTGAACTGGGAACAAAAGCATAATCAGAAAGAAAAATGTGGATAGCATCAAGGCAACTAGTTTTATTCTAGAAATCCAAAATAGGTCCATTTGTGCCCCATCAGAAGGCCCTAAACCACATGGAATGATTTATCAGAAATATAAATAGTCCTCAACTTACGGCCATAATTGAGCCCAAATTTATATTGTTAAGGGAGACAATTGTAAAGTGGGATATAACTGACAATGGTTCTCCTATCTACAAAGATTCATTATAGACGAAATAATTTATCATTCTGAACATTATAAGATAGAGTTTGAAAAGAAATTGCGTAGCACTGATGAACGTGCAATTGCTAAAATGTAAAAAATCTTTCATTAAAATTTAAAAGAGAAGAAGAATAAGTGAAAGACTATACTGTATGATAAAGTGGGCTAACTTTTTTGATTATAATATACTTCTTCTTGTGCCATATCCGTTATTGGACGTTGGCGATCATGTTGGTGATTCTGTTTTTATCAGCAGCCACACACAAAAGTGCTGCTGAGTTTTGTCCAAACCAGTCCTTTAGATTTTGAAGCCACGATGTTCTTCTTCTGCCTGGACCTTGTTTGCCTTCAATCTTTCTCTGAAGGATTAAATGGAGTACGCTGTATTTTTGGGTGTTGCATCACATGTCCGAAATATTCTAATTTTCGTTTTTTAAATTGTTTTGATGATTTCCCTTGGCTTTCCCAGGCGGCTTATCACCTCCTCATTTCTGATCTTGTCAACCCAGCTTCTACGTAACAGCCGCCTGTAAATCCACATTTCAAATGCTTCTAGTCTCTTCAGGTGGCCTTCTGTCAGAGACCAACTCTCTACTCCATAGAGCAGGATAGAAAAAAATACAGATGGAAGAATTGGAAAATATGTGGTTGGAAGGATTAAAATTTACACTGGTCCTTACTTCTCGCTTTTCTCTCGCTCTCTGCAATATTGTAGTAGGCCTATAAATATCATAAACTGGAATGGTGTGGTTGCAAAAGAAAGCCAGAATACTCACCTGTTGGGGTTCCTGATAAGGGGGAGGGGGTACAGTCTGTGTGGCCATCATTGTCAGAGATGGCACTGGGGAGACATGTTGCATCATGGGATTGATTCACATCTAGGACCTATTGATAGAAGAAAGTTTGTTACAAAACAAAGGAGAGAGGAGAGGATAGTATTACCATAATATTCACTCAATTCATCTTTCCATAGCAGATTGATGTTTCCTAAATTTATACGGCAAACTTTCCAATTCTGGTATCTTCCTGATGTGTAAGAAAAATGCTTTTAATGCAAATTCTGGGGACATCTTTGGAAGACACCAGGAGAATATATGATTATCAGAAAAACAATTATCCTATAGGATAGGGGTGTTAAACGGGTGGCCTGTGAGCGGGATGCGTCACACACAGGCCAGGCCCACTCCGGATCTGCAAAGGCAAAAAACATCGCGATACATCACATGATGCAATCCAGTTTGACACCCATGCTATTGGAGGTGTGGTTTTTCCTATACTGCAATTACATGACTCTGTTTTTTTTTTTAAAGCATTCCTTAGAGAAAGTTTTAATTCCAAAATCAGTAGATTGATGACAATAATGGCCCCAAACGTATCATGGAATATATTATTTTTCATTGTTGCTTTAGGAAACTGTACAGATGCTTGTAGATGTGTGTACAAATATATGGAGAGAGAGAGAGAGAGAGAGGGAGGGAGGGAGAGAGAGAGAGGGGGGGGATTATAAAATGATTACGGTATAGCAGCCAGTAATTAAGGTTCTGGACTAGGAGTGGGAGACCCAGATTCTAGTCCTCCCCTAGGCATGGAAGCTGTTCAGGTGATTTGGCTCCAATCATCTTCTCTCAGCCCTAGATTAGGAAGCTGAAAAATATCTATCTACTTTGGACCAGCATAGTAGAGTTAGGTCCATAACCTTCAAAAACTCTTCATCCTGCAGTAGATACAGTCTGTCTGCCTGACTGTCTGTCTAGATCAGAGGTCTCCAACCTTTGGGGCACCAGGGACCGGTTCCATGGAGAGAGGTTTTTCCGCGGACCGGAGGGTGCGTGGTTTTGCATGCTGCCTGCATCTCGCAGATGGGGCTTTGCTTATTTGTGCAGATCGGTTGCTGGCATGCTGCAGCCCAGTACTGGTCCATGGACCGGGGGTTGGGGACCCCTGGTCTAGAGCTCTCTCTCTCTCTCTTCTATCTATCTATCTATCTATCTATCTATCTATCTATCTATCTATCTATCTATCTATCTATCTATCTATCTATCATTGATCTATCTCACATCTACATAAATATTGTGTACCAGTGCTTGTATTTCATGAGTTTCATTCTCTGCATGAAACAAGAAGCGTAATCTAATATTTAGGTGCAGCCGTTCCACCTAACAATTCCAAATGTGTGCCACTTAACTTTAGGGTTATAAATCCACTGTAAACAGCACAATATTCATGTCATTTGATATTCACTAAGAGGCAAGACATTTCAGGATGCAAAGATCTAAAAGATAGACTCGATTATGCATTGCAATCATTCTTTTTTCTTTTGCCAGGATGATGGTGGGATAAAATATCAGGATTCATTTCTTTCATCAAGAGAGGAGAACCTTCCCTGGCGTCGAAGGCCTGTTTTAATTAATAGCTAAGGTATCGAAACTCTTGAGATTATTCCTATTAGACTGAGTTTAAATGATCTACCCTTGCTGATACAAAGTTTGATTTTAGCAGAAGTTGGAGTATTTCTTCCTTTGTCAAAGATATTTACTTAGATTAAATTATTAAATATTTATTTAGATGACCTCCAAGGTCCCTTCCAACTTTACTACTATTACTATTACTATTATTTTAAATAGTCCCACTGATGAGCCAAAAACCTAAACAGAGAAATGAGAATGGGATGGTTAATTCTACCCATATTTAATGCTAATAGCATTAGTCTCATAAGATTTTTTTTCAAACTTTTCTTTTCTCTAAGAAAGTTAGGGTAGCACAATGGTCCCTCCAGAACAGAACAGCCTGATGCTTCATTGCAAGTTAGGAATCTAAACTGAAATCTCACTACTTTTAGATGGTTACTGTATCATCCTGTCTGTTTTTTTTTTTTAATGTAAATTTTAATGTCTTTCTTTTAAAAGAGCTTTGAGAAACATTTTTTTTAGTCTTTATTTACTTTTAAAAACCTTTATCATTTTTTTCCCTAAGAGAGAGGCAAGAATGCTAAAGCTGAACAGCAGGCCATTATCATTTGAGAAAGACAAAAACACGGTGCCCCTGCTACTCATACAATTTCCTACAACTTCTAGTAAAAGTGTTTTATCTCGAAGTAGGATAATTTAAGCTTGGTTTCTTATACGTCAAGTGATAACTCTGGTCTGATGAACCATTAGTTTGTTTCCTTGGCTGTCCATGATACTGGAGCTGGTTTATTTGAAAGGAATCACTTATCTCCCATGATGTCTGCCCAGTTCTGGGTCCCTTCTACTAAATGGGGTCCTCTATCATGGCACTTGCTACCCAGCTTTGGGGTAGGATGGCTGGTGCCGCTTGTAGACCATACATATGCTCTCCAGGTTGATGGCTGAATCTGCCATTTTGTTATCTTCTTTTTAGATAATTTTGTTATCTACTTTGTTCTCTGTTTAACTTGGGTCTTTTTTTTTCTTTATTCGGATTGTTTCATTCTAATTGTTAACTTGTCAACCAGCCAGAATTATTTTGGAGTTGGTTGGTACCTAAATCCAATACATTGAACTGAAGTTTACTCCAAAGTTCAAAGATGTATGTGTGTGTACAATATATGTATGTGTGTGTATGTGTGTGTGTGTATATATATGTATGTATGTATGTATGTATGTATGTATATATGTATATATGTATGTGTTTTCTGAGGTTTTCGCGGGTATTTGTATGTAGGTCTTTGGCTGTTCGGGTTTTCTCCCGCGTAAAATTGGAAGTGTCTTGGCGACGTTTCGACGAAGTCCCATTCGTCATCTTCAGGCTGGTGCTTTCAGCTTCGGGCTTTGAGCAGCAATGTGTGGTCTTAGCTGTTTCTTCCTTTTAACTGCCAGTGGGGGTATGAACTGATTAGTTTACTGCATATTTACTGCATATTTACTGCAATATTTACTGCATATTGAAGTTTCCACAACTTTTATGAAACTTTTATTACATAGATATAGGAATGAATTGAATTACTATCAATAAAGTGAATTTTGAAAACTGCCCCCCCAAACAAGTTGCCCATTAAAGAAGTGTTCATTATATCCTGTTGATATGAAACCCTTTAGGCCAATTAACATCCCATTAAAACGACACTACGTCTTCCTCAGAGCAGCAATGAGTTAATACTGTATCATGTTAATGGCTCTGTGAGCACTTGAGAGGTGTGTCCTCCAATGCAGGAATTAACAGCACACACTTCCCCCCAAGAAAAATAAACCAGATCTAATTATAAAGCTTGAAGGGACTCGTTCCAGGCAAAACAAGACTTTGACATTCTTTCATTGATATAGTATCCGCTTATGACTCATTCCCTATCTGTTGGCTTCCAGCCAACAGACTTCAACTCCCAGATGTCCAAGCCAGAATGTTCTTTGGAGAATTAAAGTTCAACATATATGAAAGACATCAGATTGGGGAATATTGATAAAACCTATTCACACAACAGATATGAATGCTACATTCTCTGCTTCAATGGAACTAACCCAATGAGGACATTTTGCTTTTAAGAGGAAGAAAAGAGAAAACTGTAGAAGATGTTAGGGAACCTGCAGCCCTAGAAAAGATTTTATACACCAGTTTCCCATTTGTTCTGCCAATGACATCTGGATGGAAAGTAAATGACCACTACTTTAATAGCACTACTAAATTTGACAATGCAAAAAGAATATGTATATATGAGCTGTGGTGACGCAGTGGTTAGAATGCAGTACTGCAGGTTACTTCTGCTGCCTGCCAGCTGCCAGCAGTTCGATTCTCACTGGCTCAACTTTGACTCAGCCTTCCATCTTTCTGAGGTCAGTAAAATGAGGACTCAGATTGCTGAGGGGCAATATGCTGACTCTGTAAACCACTTAGGGAGGGCTGTAAAGCACTGTGAAGCGGTATATAAGTCCAAGTACTATTGCTATATATGTGGAGCATGGGTAATTATCTAAAACAAAAAAATATAATAATTCTATAATTTTATTGTTACCAGAGCTAAAATTCTTTAAAGTTTAATTCATCTCCAGTCAATATAGCACTAATGAATTCCTGGCTCTAAGCCTGCATAACTTTGGACAAAGTTAACAGTTATTAACAGGTGACAACTCAATGTCTTTTACAGGGAAATCCTACTGAACATTGAGGTGTTACTTCCAAAGAAACAGATTTAGCAACAAGCTAAATTAAAACCTTGATTTCAAAAAGGATCCATCAAGCAATGGCAAATGTGAATGCCAAAACATTAACTGAGATTTTCCATAGTTATCTTATCCGACTCCTATCAAGCATGAAAGATTAGATCCACACATGAGAGTCCAATTAAACTTATTTATTGCTAGTTGTGCTTATGCACAGGAATCTTCTCAATTAATGATTAGCACCTGGTAGGATCAATGGAATTCAGGGGGGGGGGCTGGGCTTATTTTACTTGTGGCTATATAGAGATTCTAGGCTGATCCCTCTTTTAACTTCAACCCCAGATTTTGCTACTCTTTCTCCTACAATTTCCCTCTCTAAAATTTACCCGAAAGATCTGAGCTATGAAGTAGAATGCAGCGTTAGAAAAGTTTCTTAAAGTATTTAATCTTATTAATATTTTACCATAGCAAGACAACATTTTAAGATTTTAAAATCTAAATTCTAAATGTTAGAATCTGGATACTTATTGCATTTAAAAATAATAATAATGGCAATGCATACTCAATTTTCTTGCTTGGAAAACCAATTCTGTAATGAAAGAAAAAATGATGAATGTCTAAGATATATTCCTCTCAGTTACAGGAGAATAATGGAGCAATACCATTTAACTTATTGCTACAGTTGATGTTGCCAGTCTTCAAAATAATAGCATATGAAACAAATAAATAAATAAATAAATGACATAAACCAAAGAAAGTAAAAAAAAGGTT